TGTGGCAATAGTATAATTATCAATTTTCAAAACTCTCACAAAAATATTTGTGGAGGCCAAAAACTTTCATAAAAAATGGATTAAAAATCTCAGCATTACATGAGTGTTTTTTTTTTGGTATGGTATTAACGGTTAAATTGTAATTCATAGTGTCAAAATGATAGTGTATTGAAAAACACATATATTAGATTTATTTTAAATTTAAATATATTTGATTTATATCTAAAATAGATATATTTGATTTAGTATCAAAATAAGTATTTTAGACTTTTATAGTTTTTGACTTTAAGCTAAATAATAAAGTTTTCCACAGTGTGAGAGAAACTCTACAGAATATATTTGATAGATTTCCAACATCAACATGCTCAATAATCAATACGTTAGTAATGTTTTTTATAATCATTTTCAAATCAGACGATATTTAAATTAGATATTTATACTTTTTCAAATGATAAATTACATTGAATACATTTATAAAAAAATTATACATGTAATAAACGTTAGACAAAAAAAGAAGTTATCAATGATCTTACTTTATATTATAATCAAAATCAAATTAAAGAAAATTATTTTCCAACAAACTAGTTATATTCAATTGAATAAATCCAACAACTAAAATATGGTGCATCAGCAGGGAATATGTTCCCCTATGATACGATTAAATAAATACATTAGGACAATGACAAAAAATAATACAGCCAAACCACATGTACAAAGCTATAAAATATTAGGATCAACAGAACCATGGCCTCTTGTTAAATATAGAAAGATCCAATAATGCACCACAATTACCCGTTAATACCATTTTACCGATATTTTATTTATCTTATATAACTTTTTTTTTATTATCTCAGTAATGATTTTTTTTTATTTATCTCTCTAAGCGTACAAATTAAACACTAAATCTAGAGAATAAAACAAAAAAAAGTTTTTTTACAAGAGTAATTTTTGCACTTAAGAACAAAAGACATATAATTTTAACATTTAAAGAGTGTGATCCAAAATTTTATTTCATAGGAGTAAATTAAAACTCGATTATATATAAGGGTATTATACATTTAACCCTATAATAAATAATGAAACTAGGTTTTTTAAACGCTACAAATAATAGGGAATTATTTTTAGCAAAAATCAAGCTTTGAAAAAAAATACACATAAATAACCATATTTTGCAGAAAACTATGCAAATAATCATGTTTCAGAAAACGTTATCATGTAGTAACCCTCTCAGATGACGCATACACTGGAACTTTGACCTTAGGCGTCATCTCACTTGGTGCATACACTTTCTTTATGCCATGTGAGATGACACATACTCTATTATTTGGAGAGGAGGCGCCATCTGAGATGACTCCTACATGCAAGTGTATTTTCTATAAATAAAGCACCTATTTCTCCATCATTCTTCACACTTTCTCACACTCTCTTCTCATTTCTCTCTATTTTTTACATCATTACATCTCCCATGATTTTCACCAGAGATGGGTATGTTATTTTCTCAGTCATCAAACCTTCCATGAAAATAAATTTTTGGCACATTCATTCCATGGAGCGTCTTAAGAGAGAGTTGGTGTGATGGTTAAAGGGAGACATCGAAGCTGGGGAACAAATTAGAAGGATCCAGAGAAGAAGAACAATCATCTCACTTGCAACTGGAAGACCTTAATATTGGTTGGAGGAAGTTAAAACAGATAGAGATGTAATGGTCATGATGCATGGAACAAATGAAATTATTTTGACGGTTGTAATTTCTTATATATTTTATCTTGTTGTCGATGTTATATTTACGTGTTGTATTTGTTGTTGTGTTAGTCGTGATGTGTTTTTATTTGTTGTTTGCGTAAGGTTTGTTGTAACAAATGCTCTTAATGAAAAAAATTCCGTTTATATCTTAAAAAAGTGCAGATAGATTGCATACAATATTTATGTTGTCGAACTAGTAGCACGAGTGGGACAATTTTTTCGATTGTGTCCGACCTGACGGCATAAACCACACTTCTTTCTAGCTTGTCAAGGGAGTCCATTTCAGTTGTGATACACTTGCTTTTGGGACAACCCTTTTTATTCCTTCGTATTTGATCGTTGTGCCAAACTATTTTCCCTTCGTATGGAGGCCAATAATCTGGTTTCGCTACCACTAGAAAGCCATTGTTATATACAATGAGCAAGGTCTCAGCCTTGTAAATGGGAGATAGAAGTAGTAATGCATCTTGATAAGCATACATACATGTCGCAATGACATGAGAACAAGGCATTCGAAAGGCTTGAAACTTTCCATAATCACACCAACGAGATGGTAATATAACCCTATACTCTTGTCTTGGCAGCCCCTCGTTGTGGTCGAGTGTCTCTTTGACAATGAAGTTGTGGCTATGTCGGTCGAACCTTGTAACAAGATGGGTGTTGGGTTTAACACTTTCTTCCTTAGTAAATTTCACGCAGCTTTTACTCCATAGTTATTCCGATTATAACACTGCGTTCCACATTTTACCTCTTTTTGCAAACAACGAAGCCATCCTAAAATAAGTTGATTTCACCAAAGGGGTTACTGGTAGGTTTCATATGCCTTTGAAGAAACCATTCATTGATTCAATAATATTTATTGTCTTGTGGCCCCATCGTTGTCCATTATCGTATGACCTCGTCCATTTCTCTACTAGAAGATTATCAATCCACCTATCTCCATCCGGATTTGACAATATGATCTCACTGCGATAGTGTTTGAATGAAGGTTGTGTTAATGCATACCTCACGTTCATAATTGTTTTCCGAAGAGCCCTGTCTTTGATCTCTAACATGAAATTTAATATGATGTGTCTAACGCAGTAGACATGTGTAGAAGGAGGTCATGCCAACCATTTGTAGGATTATTGTATGCACTCTCAATAGAAGTATGTCTGTCGAGATCAAGTAGAGACCAGGTTGTGGAGCCACGTGTGTTCGGAGATTCTTGAGAAAGAAACTCCAAGCACCACCAGTCTCTCCCTCGACTAGAGCAAAGGCAATTGAGAAAATGTTATTGTTTCCATCTTATACAACTGCCATTAGTAGTGTGCCTTTATATTTCCCGTACAACCACGTTCCATCTATCTGAATAATAGGTTTACAAGATGCAAACTCTGTGATGCAAGGTTGAAAAGCCTAGAACAGTCGAGTGAACATTCCATTTCCGTTGACACAAGTACCATCTAGGGCATACGCCGATAATGTTTCCATAATATAAACAGTTCTACGAGAATAAGTGCGAAGTGCATGTAGGTAGTGCGATAGTTCTTTTTATGCATGTAGCGTGGTAGATACTGTGTAAGGGGTATAAATTACAGCAAGAATCCAAGATTCAATGTCGCTCTATATCGTAATCTTTTGGATCACCTTGGCTCGAACGATATACGTAGCACCTCTAAAATTTTCTAGTTTTAAGTTATTTATTTTTAAAGTTATCATTATTCTGAATAATTTTTATCTACAGTTTATCTGGAAACCATATTTAGATTTGGACCATGAACTCAACTTTGAGGATGCAGCCGTTTGGACTGCAACGAGTGTAATCATCCAGTTCAATATTGTGGAGATGCACCAAAGCGATCATGTCAAGATGGATTTCGGAATGCATCAAGAAATACCATGTGATCCAACTTGTTTGTCACATTGGCATCTCAATTGGGTCGACGCCAAATGGGGTGTTAATAAGTGGGAAGATTTCGCTCCGAAGTGGTATAAGATATGGAAGAGGCGTCACCGACTTGTCTTACAATTCCCTATTTTCCTCAACCAGAATAATATGCAACACACAAATTAGTATATTGATTGGTACAGATCGGTTACTAACCCTGAAATGCATGTGTCTCACCCGAGGTATTTGATTGACCCACGCACACAATGGGTACAATCATACACCACCCAACAATAAACCCAACAATAAACCCAACACACTTAAACCTCCCATCAAACACAACGACGATACAGATTCACCAGCATCCAACCCCAAACCCAAGACCAATACCAATAAACATACATGCCCTACACACAATCACAATACCAAGAACAACGACCATGCACCCGACATCCCTATGTGGGCCCCTCGTCATCTCACCTAAGCCCTAACCTTGGCCTACCTGAAGAATATTCCCCTACCAACCCAACTTACCATCAGCCATCCTATCACCATAGCATCCAACAATCACAGTATCAATCCCTGCAAGATTCATTTCATTTTTATCCCCTTATTCAAACGGCCAGTGCTATCGACCACCTATGGAACCCCATCCCGCACCCATACGACCAAACTTTAAGGGCATGGGTAACCGACTGTTTGAAAGCGGATCTTTTGGAAATGCTGATCTGACAAATTTCATGGATCCTGAACGCATTGACTTCGCAGGGTCCTCGACCCAATCCTAACAGGAAAAATCATCGAAACACACCACGAGTTAGGCGAGGACGCGGGTGCATAACCACTGGTCATTATCAAGTCCCTGGAGATAACTAAGTAATATGTAATTTTTATTCTCATTATGTAATCGTTTAATTGATATTGAAAATCAACTTTCATTTGCAACGACGTTGTCTTTTATTTCTTTAACAAAAAAAAATAGAATAAATGACTTTGCGCCTAGGCGCCATCTGAGATGGCTTAGGGCAAAGCACATGCACCTAGGCGCTACCTCATTTGGCGCCTCCTTTAAAAAAATAATGTATGCACCATCTGAGATGATTACTGTATGATAACGTTTTCTGAAACATAATTATTTACGTAATTTTCTCCGAAACATAATTATTTAGTATTATTTTTTCAAAACTTGATTATTGTTAAAAAAAATTCAATAATAAGAGAAACTTATTTAAATAAGAAAATAACAATAATGCACTACATTTAGCAGTCGAAGAAAAGATAAAATAAATACTTCATATGATGTATTATTCTTCTTCATCAATATATATAATACCCCTCCTCATATTTTGTTAATAATATAATTTTGTACTGAAGTATAATCAAGCATATGGATAAGCTTATGCCAAAGTGGTCAAGCATCGAATCTGTGCCTGAGAACTACATATTCCCACCAGAAACAAGACCAGGTGATATCAAAATCCCGATCTGCCACAGCATCCCAGTGATTGATCTGAGTGAAGCAGAAAATGGTGATAGAACAAATACAATTCAGAAAATGATCAAAGCTGCTGAGGAGTTTGGATTCTTTCAGGTTATGAATCATGGAATTGGGGAGAATGAAATGAAGGAAACAATGAGTGTTTTTAAGGAAGTGTTTCAGTTGCCTGATGTGTATGACCATAACTTGTATCCTGATGACTCTACTAAGACATGTAAGAAGTTTACTAGCACTTACCATTATGATACTGAAAAGGTTCATCTATGGAGGGAGAGTCTTAGACACCCAACATATCCTTTGGAGGAGTGGCAGCACTTGTGGCCTGAAAATCCAGCTTCATACAGGTATATGATTACTTACTTTCTGTACCATAAATTTCTATGTACTTGTATTCAAAACCCATGGTCAATTAGATCTCATTTTCTATCTCTTTGTGAACCAACCATTTGCAATTGAAATATCTCCTCTATTCTACTCTTTCATTTTTTAAAACTTTTACTACTGAACTCACATCTCAATTGTCATGGTGTCACCCTGATTCGGACATGTCTTTATATTTAAATTCTAATAGATATTTTGGTGCAGAAAATGTGTTGGAGAATTTTCGATTAAAATTAAGGAGTTAGGTTCAAGGATCATGAATTTGATTAGTGAAGGACTTGGTCTAGAGTGTGGATATTTTGAAAACGATCTTAGCGGATCAATGATTATCTCTGCTAATCATTATCCACCATGTCCTAACCCGGATTTAACACTTGGTATACTCAAGCACTTTGATGCTTACCTCATCACCATTTTACTCCAAGATGATATATCTGGTCTTCAAGTATTAAAGGATGGAGAATGGATTGGTGTTGAGGCTCTTCCTCATGCATTTGTCATCAACATAGGCTATGCCTTAAAGGTACACCTAAACATTGATCTATACACATTCATTTCATTCAATTCTTCAAATTTTGTTCACTTGGTTGCAGATAATCAGTAACGGCAAGCTACAAAGTGCTGAGCACAGGGCTGTGACAAATTCAACTCATGATCGCACATCTGTTGCATTTTTTATAGCTCCATCAGGTGATTCTTCCATAGAGCCAGCACAATGTCTCATTGATGAGCACAATCCACTAATTTTTAAGTCCTTCAAATTCAAAGATTTCCTCTCAAGATTCTTTGAAAAGCACGGTGACATGGAAAAGGTGATGAAATCCTTTGAAGTACCGGATGAAATACTGTGAAAGAAAAGTATCATTTGATAATGATCTTTTATTTTATTATTAAGTATTTATTTACAAGAAGAAATATCTTGGTACTATGAAATATTAGTAATATATAGTGCACTTATATTAAGTATTTATTTGATAAGGCCGTATGTGCATCTTGATTATCTTGGGACATCATATTGACATAAAGAAAATATATAGTGTACTTATGACATATTAGTGAGAGGTTATGAAATAGTAATTTGTATACATTAGACATAATTAATTTTGTATTATGCATTATATAATTCTTGTATATTACACCGGCTTATGATCAATAAAAATCATCAAAATATTTTCCTATATAGTATCAATTAGGTTTTTGTTATATCCCTCCTCCTAGCCGCCATCTTACCCCACCTTCATTCTTCTGCAAAATTCATTTTCCTTATTCTCCCTCACAAGCTGCATCAATGGCAGATCCAAAATCATCACAAGATTCAACTTTCACATAGCCAACAACAACACTATTTGAATTTCACTCAGCTTTTACAATTACTAACGTGAAATCCATCATTCCTATCATGTTGGATAACTATTCGCTACTACTGAAACACTTATAATCACAATTTTGAAAGACCTAAAATCACATTTGAACACTCGTGGTGAGATAGCGTATCGTTGTAAGTAGGTTATTTACTACTACGGTCCATTGACCGCGATAATAAACAAGATAACACACTACATATAACCATGATTGTAATAAACAACCATGGTGAAAGGCGAGTAAGTATTTTTCATTTTTGCCATATTTTGCCTACGGACTACAATGATAACTTTCATCACAACATATAATATTAAATACTTTTTAACACCACCACAACAAGAACGATAACAAGAACAACAAGAACAACAATAAGAACAACAAGAACAACATCAAGAACAACAACAATAACAACAAGAACAACAACAATAACGAAAACAACAGGAGCAGCAACAACAAGGACAACAAGAACAACAAGAACAACAATAAGAACAACAAGAACAACAACAACAAAATAAATAAACAAAATCATTAAATAAGAACATTTTACCTAACACAACAACAATAATTATCGTTGCTAAGTTGAATCCATGATTTCCATTTCCCGTTCAATTTAGAGAAAAGACGATGGAGTCCCGAAACTCGTTAATGGAAGAAATGTTTTTGAGTTTTGTTTAAGAAAAATGATATTTTCAAGTTTGGTTTAGTGGAGGAATACTATTTCGTAAATGGAAGAAGTTTGGAGACATAATATGAAGTTTGTCTAAATACATTTATCGAAAAAGTGAATAAACTACAAGGGTTATATATCTTTAAAAAAAATAAGAAGGCGTCTTTTTTCACCGCAGTTGGAATTTCAACCGGGATGAAAACGTGGCTTAAAAATAAATAAAATAATAATAAAATACTGGCGTTGGGATTCAAACCCATGATTAACCACAATTAAAATTCCAACTGTGATGAACAGTGGGTTAAATGTAAATAAAAAACAAAAAACATTAGTGCTGAGATTTAAACACATGACCAGACTCCAACTGTGGTTAAAAGTAATGTCTTCCTACTTTTTACCACGATATTTATTAAGCGTAGTGAAATTTCTCTTAATAAAATAAAATAAAAAATACATACGCCTAAATATCATCTATTACATTGGTTGATTGAATAGCCGAGGTAATAACATGTTACGAAAGGTATATTTTGTAGTAGTGGCTCGAGCCCCTATCTCTCTTGGTCATCCCTATTCCAAGTTCATCAAGCTCATGTCCATAACATACTTGATCATATTATTTCTCCCACTGATACAAAAGCTTAATAAACAACCGAAGAAACAAAGAAAAAAGATCCTGAAGAAACCAAGAGAAGTATGACTCGAGGTGTATTTTCATCTATTATATTGTTTTGTAATATTTCATTGGTTCTCCAAGCAAATAATAGACAGGTTAGTAAGGAAAACACCAAAAACACGTCTCTTAGAATACATTCTCTTGTTTCTTCTCCTCTTCATACAAGGGATTAACCTATCGAGGTAGTCGATACCCTCAAAGAAATAATCCATTACCATCATAGATACTAAACATAACATCCCAAATAAATTTATCTAGAAATTTTAACCGAAATATACATAGTCATATCAGATGTTGTTAAAATTACAAAATAATTCTCGACGATACATAGAAACACATTGTATCATCACAATATGAACTTCCATACATCTAAAATTACATAATATGAAGTTAACTATGAGAGAGTATTAAACATAATGAACAAAATAGGCGTGTGATTGGGAATAAAAAAAACATGAAATTTCTTCAAAGTACAATCATTGTGCAGCCTTCTAACCCTTATCCACTTGTATCTGAAAATAAGAAAATGTGAGAAATGAGATCTACTTGTCTTAGTGAGTTCCTTACTACAAGCATTGTTGTTAGTAAGCTATAGAAGTTTACTTGTCAATTGATATATATATATATATATATATATATATATATATATATATATATATATATATATATATATATATATATATATATATATATATATATATATATATATATACACACACACACGCTTCAAGGCATCCCTGTGAAAATTTGTTGATCTAAAGAAATACATTTAGTGCTTTAATTCCCAATTCTAATAAATGTCCCATTGAGACTCTTCACTTACTTATATTAATAATTGAATAAATATCTACACGACAAACCCCTTACTCTATAGATTAGATTAATTGTTCATAATCATTCGCAAGGTCCATAGAAAAATACTTAAGAGTGAAGCTCCATTACTACAGAAAAGGCATACATCAATGATTGAAAAAGATATATAATCACACAGGACCAGACATTGTTATGTAGCGTGTGATTGTATATGTGTTACTTAAAATTACGGTCTAGTGAGCATTATAGTAAAATATCTATCACAATGGTTGACATGAACAACTATTGTCATAAATATAGTGGCATGGGTTTGATACCCTTCTACAACAAAAATTAAAGCGCATAAAAATAATATTTCACCACGGTTATAAGTTTCAACTATTGTGGTATATGTAAGAGTTTATTATAAAACATGAGATTGCTTGTTTTTCCCTGCCCCTCATTAACCGTATACTTAAAATATTCAATGCTTTTCGAATTACATGCCTCTTGTAAATCATGATTTCCTATTTACCCTATAGGATTTGATTCAATCCCAAAATTTTCAAAGTAATGATGAATGGATGCCAATCTGAGTCTTTCACACAAAATTTGATTTTCTCTTCTTTTATAGTATTTTTCATTTATCAAAATTTGTGTGAAAGATCTAGACTGCCACCCATTTATCAACATTGTTTTGAAGAATTTGTGGCATTGAATGAAATTCTATACGCTAAATAGGAAATTATGATTTATAAGATACACACAATTCGAAAAATATTAGATTGTCTAAGTTGATTTTCAAGAATAATTTAATTTTTTAAATTATTATCTCAAAAATATATTTAAGTGAGTGCAAGTTCAATGAGGGGTTAGTGAAACAAGCAACCACATATGATATAACAAACCCACTAACAACATTTATCAACAAAAACATCAAGTTAATTTACATAGATTGGGAGAACTTAACAACTAACCATTATAAACTAAATTTCATCTACTATTAACCTATATAAGAATTTAAAGTACAAAATATTACAAAGTCATAAGAAGTCTATTTATTGTAAATTAGCAATGTTATATTGTTGTTTTGAGAACATTTGTCAAAAACAACATACAACAACTAAACAAATACATGCAACAAATGAAAACACAAAATCATACAACATCACAAGTTATATTAAATTGTTTCAAGAACACACCTTTTATTGAAAATAATTGTGGAATTGTAATAAATTATGAAGCTCGTGTAGTTTGTGATGCAATGAAGAAGAAATTCAAGGTGTATGAAGTTTCCACAATAACTTCATATTTCTTGTATTTTTTCCATTGCAACACAAACCATATGTTCTTCATTAGACTGCCATCAACCATCCCTTGCCTACTATCAAATCCTACTATACACTTTCTATCATCATGTTCCCAAAATTTGTCCTCTTTTTTCTCAAGATATTTCTCACAAGATCTTCAATAGCTCAAGTTTATACAAGTGTTGACTAGGTCAAGCCATCTTTTAAACACTAATGCCTCAAATTAGGGTTTTGATTTGCACAAGGACAATTGAACTTTTAATGCCTCAAATGAGTTTCATGGATCATAATTGACCTCCAAGATTACTCATGTCAAGTTTCAAGTCTTGAATCATAATTTTGTCCAATCAATTGACCAGATGACTGAAAATCAGCTGTATTGAGTAAAAAGTCAATTATGGTCAACCTACAGTCAAACTTCAATATTTTGGACCAATATCAAAATTTTGAAGTCATATGTAATAATTGATCAAGTTTGGATCACAATTCCTCAGAAAAATTGTTCAAATCACCAAAAGGGCAAAATGGTCAAAATTAGGGTTTTGATTATACTTGACTGATCAATGATTGTTTAACCTAATACATGATCTAATGGCTTAAAGTATAATATCAAGGATTCAAATGCAACATGTTGACCTAATTTCATGGCTCAAAACATTTCTCAAGATCATTGGATTAATAGATGAAATTTGATCAACTGATGAAAAAGTCAATTGAACACCAAAAAGTCAAACTTTGACTTTCTGATCAAATTTGAGTTTCAAAGATCATATTTCATCAATAAATTTAAATATATGAAGCTTTATCATCAAGAAATCAATAAATTCAAAAGTTAATTTGAAAAGTCAAACTTTCCAAGACTTAGAAATTTTTCTAAGTGTTTTGTACATTATAAATGCATTACTTCATGATATTTTTTCACCAAGATGAAAGATGATTCAAAGAAAACTTTCAACATGAAAGTTGTAGATATTTATGAATTCTATAACTTTGCATTAGAGGGTTGATGTCCAAAAAATGCTTAGATTTGAAGATACAGGCCCCTGA